CTAGCTCCTGGAGACCACGTCCCCATCTCATGGTGGAAGCTGTTGAAGAGCTAAAAAACTCCTTCAGGGACAAACTGGTTCATCTAAATTCAGCTCAACTGCAGAATACTTGGATGACCTTTAAAGGGAGAGTCAAGGTTGTTCCAAATCAGAGGAGTTTTCTTCAACCAGTTGTTATATTTTAATAACTGTAGGCAGGAAGGATCTTCTGTAGCAGTCTGTGCCCAGCGGCCCTGGAGAAGCCTCTGACTGAAGACATCAGCAGCTAACTGTTCGCCATAATGTTCTGTGTTTTATAAAGAATTATTGTTATTCAGGTTGTGGAGGAGTTCCTGGAGCAGAACCGGCCTGTTGAGCTTTTTTAGGTCTTTATTAAAGGGCGGCTGGCCTGCTGCTGTCAGCTACATCCCATTCAGTTCATACAGCAGTATGTTGGTGTTTCTTTAGATCACCTTAAACACTTTTTGTTCAACACTACAGCATTTTGCTTTATATTGCAAAAATTACCCTTAAGATTGAAAAGATGGAGACCTGAAATTCTCAAACACAAAACTCTTCATCCGTCATAAAGAAACTGAATGAATTCTGAAAACCAATCATTTAATATTCATTGATGGAGAAACATTTCTAAAGTCCACCCTCAGCTCGGGTCATAGGTGATACAAAAACACACCAAGGAGGTTTTTTCAAATATGTAAAAATGTTTCTGTCATCTGCACCGAATTCAGCCGTAAGATTCTCGCCGACACGTAATAAATCACTGAAGCGTAAACGAGCTCAGTCCAAGACGGGAACCTTGAGGAACTCCCTACAGGACAGAGGAGGCGCATGGATCTGATCCTGTCAACACAAACTCTGCTTTCTGTCTGTTGCAAAGAATTCATCTGAATCAAATGAGCAGAAAAGGTCAGTTGTGTCAGTTATAGAAATGAGAAGTTAACAGATGGTATAAAAGGCCTTCTTTAAATCTAAAGTTATAAAAAAATCTAAAATAAGAGAATTTGACCCTCATTAATCAAACCTATTCCCATGAAGACGCAGCTTGTTGCCTGAAGAGCAAAGAGAAATAGCTGCTATCTGAATGCTTCATCATTAACATCCTGACGTTTGTGTTGCAAATTCACTGTTTGGAAAATAAAAACATCTTCAGCACAGGGAGAAAATCTGCACTCTTTAAATGTGCGTATGGCTCTGGGTAATAAAACAAAACCGATCCAAGTTCTGCATGCAGATCCAGGTCATTTCTTCAGTTAACAAGTTATCAAGCATTGTCACAGAGTGGATCCATCCATCATTCTGTAACCAGGATGGATAACGACAAGTCAATTTATGTCCCTTTTTAATTGAGCCACAAGCCGTGGCCCCACATGGCTCTCTGCTGCTTCCAGCAGACACGGGAACATTTCCTATATGTTCCAGGGCACAAGTGCTGCACAATTAGATTAGCCAACAGAGATTGAAGCCTCTGTGCCTGTATGAATGGATGGACAAACCAACAAGTCCATCACATTCCCTGAGGATGATGTCTTCATCGTGGAGATAGACAGCCTGTGTGTGTGGCTGAGCGCAAGTTTTGATCTAATGTGATCAGTAATGAATTTTGTGTTGCATTAAAGAGGGTTGGAGGGGGGCACAAGGGGTCGGGATGCGATGGAGGAGAACAAGGAGCAACTGACTGGTGGCAAGCAGCAGCCTTCAACATCTAATCTAATAAAGAAACAGAAAAAGAGGGATGAGAGGGGGCGGAAAAAAGAATGATGAGAAGAAAGAGAGAGAGAAGAGAAAAGAAAGCGAGACTCCAAACAAGGTTAAGTCCTTACATGGAGAGAAGGATGGGGTGTGGGGGGAGAAAGCAGCAGCTGAAGATGGCTGCTGGAGGGGGATGATAGTCGATGCTAAATCCATTAGAGCCTTGTGACCCCCCACTCCCCTACAAAATACCCTTCCCATTCCTGTAGCTGCCTCTGTGGAAGTGTCCCCCTCCCAATCTTCTGCACATACATACACTTAAATCAAAGGAGCTCTTGTTCACTTAAGACGACGGGGGACGGAGGGGGTTCACTGCCGCTTCCTAAATGAGTTAACCATTTGGACCGTCAGGGCCAACGGCATGTCTGCTGCTCACACACACACACACACACACACACACACACACAAAGGCAGGAAGCTTCTCATTTAAGCCGAGGTGTGTGCCGATATGCAAAGAGCTCCAATCGTAATATTCTTTTAGAAAGACTTGAATATTTTGTTGGAATTAAAGGAACAGCTCTAGACTGGTTTAAATCT